TTACCTGTGTCTAGTGTCGCACAAACTCGAAGATCTACAGGCGAAAACTAACAAGTTGTCAGAAGAGGCAGCGAAGATGGGACCTCAAGTGAACGTAGAGAAGACGGAGGTGATGAAGATACACAACGAACACCACCATCACCAACAACAACAAGCACCAATCACCATCAACGGGAGATACTTAAAGGAAGTAGCCTCCTTCACCTATCTAGGCAGCACTGTTTCAACTACAGATGGCACAGACGAGGATGACAAAGCAGCCAGGATTCGAAAAGCAAGACAGGCGTCCATTAGCCTGAAACCAGTGTGGAGATCTTCTGCACTCAGCTCAGCATGTGGAACAAGATCCGGATTTTCAACACCAACGTCAAATCAGTTCTTCTGTATGGCTCAGAGACTGCGTGTTACGAAAGGGATTTCCAACAAACTACAGACATTCATCAACAACTGCTTACGCTCGCTTCTGAAGATCAGATGGCCAGAAAGAATAAGCAACAAGGAACCCTGGGAACGAACCAACAAAAAACCCATCGCTCAACAAATATGCATTGGAAGAAATTGGAGATGGATTGGGCATACACTGAGAAGGCCGACTGGGGCATCACGTGCCAGGCCAGGCCGTCGAGTGGAACTCAGATGGAAATTGACGAGTTGGGGGTCCGAGGCGAGGGTGACATGGGGGAGATCGTGCGAGGAGGAAATGAGAAGTTGTGGGCTGTCGTGGAGCCAGGTTCAAAAGGTTGCAGAGAAGAGAGTGGAATGGAGGCGTGCTACTAAGGCCTTATATCCCACTGGAAACCTAAGGGAAAACTAATAGTAGTAATTGTGTGACTGGTTTATATTTGTTATTTGGTAATGAATGAGGTGGAAAGATTACTGAATCTTTGTCTAACGCTACTTGAAACAACATGACATCTTTAGTGCATAATTTCAGCTACTGAAGCGGTCTTGGCAGAATTTACCAACAGGGTGTCACAGATGTTCGCCTAACACTTAAAGACAATACGTTGAGTCAGAGGAATCTCCGTTTGATTACTTTAACTTCATAAATTAACCTAATAATTCTAGAATATTTTATACCCGGTAAGAGGATACAGCCAACTCAACACTCCGTTTTCTTGTGATCTCGTCTGGTTTAATGTGTCACAAATTATATAAATTAACCATGGAAGGTGAATGGATCTTTCATTTATTTCTAGTGGCTTTAGTGACTTTACAACTGAAATTTTTCCTCAATGAACAAGATAAATTAATTTACCCGTTTATTTAAAATCTGAAAGTGGGGGAAATATAAATCTCATACATAAAAGAACATAATATTAAAAGAGGCAATAAAAGGAGGATGACAAGGTTTGAAGATATTGGTAATATGATGTGTTAGGCATTACCAGACCAGGTTTTGAACACACAACGAAAGGAGGTGCTTAAGTTAGTGAATGGCTTCAAAATCCCCAAGTATACGCTCCTGACAGTTTTCATACTAAATTGTAAAGGCTGTTGCAGTATCATTTCTGTGACCTGAATCAATAATGTTTTACGGTGTACGATAATGGTTGTGTGCCACCTGCGCTTATAGATGTTAGTGAATCCAGCTGGTTTCGTATCCATTTTACTACTTGTTCCTTCTCCCTCACGTTCTTATCTCGATTAGTTCTCTCTATGTATGTGCGTTTTCACAGAGATGTAGGTTGATATCGATCTCATGGTTGTTTGAGCACTTCATTCTACGCATTTTCTCTTCCACTGGAGATATCTGATACTTATATTACGCTTTCTTGTTAAAATGTTTTCATATCTTATGGAAACTAACGTCATTTATTGATTCTACTTTATTGATACCGGTGCTTAGATGATTCTTTCATGGAAGTAGTCAACAGATTTACTTATTTTCTTAGTATATAGTTGCTGTGCGAAGTCAAAAAGAAATTGATCAGTGAATATAAATCGTGTTTTTCTCCATTTAATACTTTACAGTAACATGATTTACTTTTCCTGTACGTTACGTTTATGCGTGGAAACATCAATTGTATTGTGTAGTACTTTGTATGAAGTGGTGTGAACTTTAGTACTTTTGACGATAGCGGATGTAGTATGTAAATCAGACAATATTCTAAGCTCTTATTTATTTTACTATTGCGTCGTCATACTATGCACGTTAAAAAAAAGCATAACTAAATTGTAGTATCAGAGAATAACCTAATTAGTATGCAAATTATCTTCCATTTTCATTTTATCAACTTTACGGTGATGATTATCTCAGTAACTATATATCTTATAAAGGATTTAATGGATTTGCATTTTTAATATCGAATAATTCGAGGAAGTTTCAAATGAAGAGTCTTACATTAGCAAATTAGTTGTCATCTGATAGAGAATATTTAACAACCTAGTATACTGTTAAAATACTGCAGAATAAAAATCTATAACTGTTCATAAACCATATTAAAATAAATCACCAAAGATGTTCCAAGTCAGACAACATCATTACAGGACATTTTCTTATTTGTCCGCCGTAAACAGCTGATTTGTTTTCGAAACTCTGTTAGTCTAGAATTTTGGTTTGAGAGTTTATATATCCCAGTGGATTATTTAAGAAAAGAATAATTTCAGTGAACATTTGTTTTTGATAACTTCCACATCATCTGGTATAATTATGCATCTATAAATGCCGGTGAAATGCAAAAGTCCATGTCAAGCATGCAGTTCAGTTTTAATCGAATAATGAAAGTGTGTGATGAGTAAAATGGATGTCGAGTCAAGTGGGTGTAGTTTTTATTTTATCTACTTCCTTGTAGTTCAAATGTTTTTCAATCTACGAAGTAAAACTTCTTTACTTTGTTTATGCACAAAGAATTCAAGTGGTACTTGTATGAACTAAGGGAACTAAGTTAAGATCAACTTGATTAACCATATGAAGAAAGTGATTACTTATAAATCAGTCAGCGCTTGTTATGTTACCAAGTTACTCGTGAGAAATTTTAGTAAAATGAGTGTAGTATAAAATACTCTGTTTTCAGTTGAAACGTCACTTTCACTCCTCATTGGATTTGTTTTAATTTTCGTCTTTTGTCTTTTTTCCCTTAGATTTTCATTTACTTTCAATTTGAGAGGTTTTATTGTTTCGTAAATGAAATGTTAGAAGTATGAGGGCAGTTCGACCCACCTACACGCTAACTGAAATATCTCGTTATTTCATAACTCTTTTTTTTTCCATTACCCTTGGGAAACCGTATTGATTAGTAATGGTTCTAGGTGATGATTCATGGTGAGATGAAAATTTGGACCACGGTAGGATTCGAACCAGTAACCATCAGGTTTTCAGTCCAGTCTGTCAAACTACGGTTATCTCAGATAGTTAGAATGATAATCAGTATGACGCCCCTCCTCTTTAATCAGTTTGCATTTGAGTTGGGATCAGATATCTTGAATGGGCAGCCAGTGTGAGTACGATCAAGTGGTAGTAACGCGTCACGAATTAACATGGTGGTCGGGCAAAATTATTGGTGATTGAAGTGCAATGAAATTTGGTCAGAAGTCGGGTCTCGTAGCTCAGTTGTTAGAACACCGGGCTGGAAACCCGTTAATCACTGATAGGGATCCCACCAGTGGTCCAATGTTTTTCATTTCACCTTCAGTCATCACTCAGTATCAGTAATAGTCTGCCGAACCATGGTTATCTCAGATAGTCAAAGTAATAATCATTATCGATTAGGATGAGACTCTAGGGAATCCACTCTTTCATAATTTGTACATATATTGAAATCCTAATTATGATAAGCGTTATGAACAATAAACAGCAGATTAAGATTTGAAAAAATCAAAATGAGCATACATTCACTGACGTACTGGTTGCATTGACTGAGGATTAGTTATTGTCTGAATTTGATTACAAACAGTAGGAGAGTAATTCAGTGAAGAATGCATAATAAATATTTACATTTTTCCTGTCATGTAGTCAGCTTGTGTACTATCTTAGTCATGATGTAGAACTTGTTACTGTTTTGTAATAACATCAAGTGGTCAAATGCAAGAAAAAAAATGATGAAATAGCTTACAATAAAATAATAAAGTGGTATGCAGCAAAAATAAAAATCACCGTTCCTTATGAAAATGGAAAAAGGAGAAAAGAAAGGTGCATTTTTTCATAGCTCTTTTCAAGTAGTAATTCAAATTACTTTAGGTGAAGAATGAGAGTGGCAAAAGTTATGGACATACTTCTTAAAGTTCATTTTACTCTATTTTCTATAACACAACATTAATCAACTTTTGGATGAGTTAGGACAATTAGTCGTCGAAAGGAAAAGATCAGGCTAGAAAGTGATTTTAGTCTAGTTCCATAGACTAATAATTCCAAATTCAACAATACAGAAGTGTGATGTAATGCATTGGTTGGAAAGCCTGCAAGGAAAACATCTGCAGTCCACCACCCTCCGAATTCTAGTGACTGTCTGACTAATGTCAACTTTAGATTGCATAAAACATTGCTTTCAGTGATTTAGTTCGAAGTAGCAATCATCATGATTTTTTTCTATATTTTAACCAAAATTTTATTTCATGCGTAAGGTGATTCTTTTTATAATAGCTACTGCTAAATCATATGAATGTTGCCTGAAGCTTAAAACGTAGTGTTATAGCCAGTAATAATTCATATAGTTTTTAGGTTCCATGTTTATGGGTTGCTTTTATCATATGTTAAATATCAGTGTTCAATTAACTGAAGGTAAGGACATTATATATTCCACTACAACAATGCCATATCAGTTTTCATATTCTGCTGAACATTTACCATCAAACTTCCGCTTAATTTTTCTGTTTTAAGGAGCTAAATTACTCTTATTATAATTAATGACTAAAGATAATGGTTCAATATAAGTATATTCTACCTAACACACCGAACTTTGTTACAGCACAACAAACCACATTTCTTTATTAATTAGCAGGTGACCAATAATAGGTATTTTTAAAAAGAAATACTTAATATAAAGTCAATTTAAACATACCATCTGAAAGAATTGTTCGATACTTTTTGCCGATAAATCCAAAAAGAAAGCTTCTAAATGTTTTATTTCTCTGATAATATGAGCTTTGTAGAACGAATTTTCCCTCCATCGACGAATAAGTGCTGTTGTCTGTAGACTCTCTAAGCATTCACGGTATTTAAGAAAATCTAAACAAACACAAACAACATTTTTGTTTATTGTTCTTAGTAGTTCCATGATTTGTCATGCATTTTGTATTAAGAAGTGAAAAATTGAGGATTATTTATCCATAAGCAAGTTAAATGTCAGCAACCATCTCAATTATTCAGTTTGAAAATTTGTGAAATTTGTTGATTTCAAGTTTGTATTCATTATGGACTTACACCAGTTGCATGAAAACTGGAAGACTAGGAGCACTGAATAGCCGTTTCTTTCTAGTATGGGACAGCAGTGCGCACCTATAACCCCACTCCACCGGGGATTGAATTTAGGAGTTTCAGGTTCCATGGCCAGTACACTACTATTCAGTGAATGAGTCGGAATCCAGTGGTTCATATTTTCAACTTCTGTCAGTTCAAGACATAATGCGACCATCATCCAATGTCATCGTTAAGTAGTTGTCCTCACGTCCACCAGGTTTGCCCCACTAGTCACGAATTCTCAATAGCACTTCAGAAATCGCCTCTCCAAGCTAGTCACCAATGTGAACTAGATAATTTAGCTTGGGGATTTGTGTGCTGACAAAACAGCTGTCCATTGCTCCTAGCTTCTCAATCTCGCTTCAACTGCTGTCGGTCCACGATGAGCATCAACTCAGTTATATCCAGAGCTTTACTTGGAGAGTAGCTACCAGTTGACCATGTACACTTCTGTGGTATAGAACACTGAGAAGATTCTTACTGATTCCCAGATAAACAGTTTTTCGGAAACACGCCTCCTGCTGTTATTTTCTTTGGTTAGGGTTTTCATGGGTTACTTATTCAATCAGTGTTCGTCAGATAACTTGCTTCTGTGAAGTTGAAAACATCGACCGTACCACCCACCAGCTTCTGAAACGCTCTTATCACCAGCTTCCAGCCTGGCGGACAACATAAGAATGGAAAAGCATCTCTAACTCGGTAATAAAACACTTGGTAAACTTGTGATAGATGATGACCTCATGGAGCGATTTTATTTATTTCTGTCATTCATTTAGCCTACTATTTTAAACCTATGTTTTTCTTATACAACCTTTGTTATATTTTCAATGTACTTTAATTGGTGACTGGAGATTATTCTGCAGCATTTCTTTCCTTCCAGTATTTGTTCTTAAATATATAGATAAGAGAAGCTCTTGAACAAAAATTTTAACTATGCCTTAATCGCCTTCCTTCTTTCTGACTTGAATTCTATATCAGTAAAGAATTCACGGAAGAATGTTATGCTCCTAGATTAAGCGATTTATTTTTCTTAATTTTCTAATCATAGATAACGCTGAAATTAGGGAATCAAGAAGGCTACTTGGCAGCTTACTGAATATGTAATTTTATCAGTATTTCGGTCACACATAACTGTCGTCTAACTTGTTTTATGCACAAATACAGTTTTGACGAAAAGAAAGGATAAACAATTCAGCAAATAAGATGTTATTTTTCAGTGGTAAACTTTTTTAAAGCTGTATAATCGTATTCATATATATCACAAACACATAACAGTCTATTATTAAACAGCAGAATATAGTCGCATCTTCAAGCTAATACTAAATACTGGAAAAAAAGATTGTTAATCGTTTAGACAATGGAAATAATGAGAAAGGCAGAGTTCGACAAGATGGAAATTGTTGGTAGACATGAAATGCAAAGACTAAATGTTCACTTGGTAAATATAAATAAGATAAAGAAAGAAACAAGGGTCATAATGATGGTGATAATAATAAAGTAAATAATTACAATTAAATCAACAAACTCTGAAAGCGTTAAGACCATGACAAGATAAGAGATTTAACATACTTTTGCATGCAGGGATCAGACTTGTATAGGTGAACTGCCAGTGTCTCTGCTGTTCACAATTATCGAAAGCTAACTACTTTGACTCTGTAAATGACACTCAAAGAAGACTTTGGTGAAACTGTATGTTCAGAACTAAGCGAATGTTCAACAATTGAACTGTCAATTGATTTGGATTTTTCCTTTCGGGAATCATGCAGGATAGTGCTCAGAGATACAATTAAAAAAGTCTATACTTTATGTGGATTATATAACTAACTGACTCCACAGGACAAAATGAATTTGTAGACACACAATAAGGGGGTACAAGCTGGAAACTTGTCATTAACTTACTTTGGAACCAATTGCTGACTATAGAAGCTAATTTGCAGCTTCACACAGAAGAGAGTCTTCCGCAGCGGTTTAGACATTCAACTCTTTATAATCTATGCTGCCGTATCACCTTTGAAACCAACGATCATGAACAAAGTCTCTTTTAGAGCTATTAAAGCTTTCACAGAAATTTGTTTCGGCTCCAAGTTTTTCTCAATAAATACATATAACTTTACATGTTGTGGGAGAATTTTCCGCAGTTTGTCCACATTATCACTCACAATATCACTCATGCAGATTCTTCTGATTCTTGATGAAAAAGAATAAATAACGTGCATTTTTCTGTTGAGATGAACTAGATATCAAAATTAAAGTATTCATCATCCCATGTTCGATTCCTGATAGAGGAGAGGAGGATGGTGAAGCAGAAGATGTACCAGTGCAAGGATGCACAACGAAAAGACGAACTGAGTACAGCGTACAAAACACTAGATGAAGAAGTGAAGAGTTCGCGCAAAGACAAAAGACACTTCTATGACATATTGGCAAGTGAGGCAGAACAGGCAGCAGGTAAGAGAAACCTGAGAACATTGTATCAAATAATCGGGTTACTATCGATCTGGGAAGAGATCAACACAGACGAAATCAATGAATGATGGTGAAGGAAAGTTGGTTAGCGAAGATGAGAAACAAAGGAAACAATGGGCTGACTACTTCAGAAAGCTCTTGAATCGACCACCACCACCACCACCACCTGCAACTAGTCCAGAAATACCACCAGCAACAGCAGAACTACCAATGCACACAGGCCCTCCGACAAAAGCAGAAGTCCTGAATGCCATAAAACTGCTGAAATGCAGGAAAGCAGCAGGACAAGATGGAATCCCACCACAAACACTGAAAACAGACGCAGAGACAACAGCGGACATGCTCACACCACACCACTATTGCAGAAGGTCTGGGAGGAAGGGAAGGTACCTGCAGATTGAAAAAACGGTCACCTTGTCAAACTCCCGAAGAAGGAGACCTCAGTGTTTGCAAGAACTGGCACGGAATCACTCTCTTGTCCATCCTAAGCAAAATATTAAGCCGCATCATCCTGGAGAGACTAAAAGATGCTCTCGATTCAAAATTACGACCGGAACAGGCAGGCTGGATTCAGGAAGTACAAATCATGTGCGGATCAAATCGCAACGCTACGCTACGCATCATCATATAACAGAGTATAGAATGGCAGTCAACTGGATCTCTATCTCAACTTCATCGATTTTGGAAAGGCCTTCGACAGCGTTGACCGAGAAGTAATTTGGCAGCTGCTGCTTCAACACTACGGTGTGCCACAAGTCTTTATCAATCTCATTCAACAACTATATGAAGACGCCACGTGCCGAGTGATCCACAATGGAAAGCTCAGTGATGCCTTTGAAGTGAAGACGGGAGTAAGACAAGGCTGCCGCCTACTTTCACCCATGGTCTTCCTGATTGTGGTCCACTGGATCATACAGCAAACCGTGAGGAGCGAGAAGATGGGCATATGCTGGCTGGACCGATGAAAAGAGCCTAGAAGATTTGGATTCCGTCGATTACCTGTGTCTAGTGTCGCACAAACTCGAAGATCTACAGGCGAAAACTAACAAGTTGTCAGAAGAGGCAGCGAAGATGGGACCTCAAGTGAACGTAGAGAAGACGGAGGTGATGAAGATACACAACGAACACCACCATCACCAACAACAACAAGCACCAATCACCATCAACGGGAGATACTTAAAGGAAGTAGCCTCCTTCACCTATCTAGGCAGCACTGTTTCAACTACAGACGGCACAGACGAGGATGACAAAGCAGCCAGGATTCGAAAAGCGAGACAGGCTTTCACCAGTGTGGAGATCTACTGCACTCATCATAAAACGCCAACAAGATCCGGATTTTCAACATTAATTCAGTCAAGTCAGTGCTTCTACGTTGTTCAGAGACTTGGCGCGTCACGAAAAGCATTTTCAACAAACAACAGACATGCATGAAGCAACAATATATGGAGCATATATGAACCAGTAACGTGAGAGCCATCTTATATGACTACACAACACATGAAGCATAACTTACCACCACTGTGTTCATATACAATTGCGAATCCTTTCCAAATTTCTTCATTAATTACAATTAAATTTTTGAGAAGTTCAGCCACAAGAAACTGACTTGGTCCAACTGAATGTGCCAAAGCTGGGGAATATGGATTGGAAATACGATGATGTGAGCTGCCTGTCCGATGTTTAGTTTTGGAGAATGAAAACCATTTTATAGCTGAATCTATCATAGAACCAGGGCACTCTCCTAAGTCTGTTATGGTGACAAGCGGTAACTGCAGTCGTGAACTCAAACTCATTAATAACTGACGTCGATAACATCTTAAGCGTTCATTAGCTTCAGATTCTGCTGTTTGCTCTAAACCATTCTGAAGGGTGTTTCTCATCTCCTCATCATATGGCGAATGTTCTCCATTTTCATCTTTGAAACTGGAGGAGAATATAAAGGTATCATCACTTTGAGCAGCATATGGCCAGCTAGCATCCACTAATCCAATAGGTCGAGTTGTTTTGTTGAGTATTGAGCAGGCTGGAAGAATTATACAAGTATAGAAGGTAATAAAGCGTGTAAGTTGAGCATGACACGTATTTTCCTAAAGATATTCGTTAAATTCTGCCATTCTTTATATTAGGAGCAAACTTGGATGTGATTACAAATGAGCGCATGATCTTCAAACCTATAGTTTGACAGTGATCATCAATCATTTTACTTCTTATGACAAGCTTACCCTTATTTAACCGTTTATATTCTTTAAAATACAGTCCTCGAGGATACGGTCACTATAAAGTATTTCTGGTGTGATAATAGTGAGAACAAAAACAATTTAATAAAGTCTCTCTGCTAGCTCAAAGTGACTTAAACTACCTGAAGCAGCATAACTTAGGTTCAGTACAAATTTACAGCTGCTTGTACATCCACACGTATGAACAACACCACGGAATCGACCACTAGAAGGAGATGAGAAAATTAAAACATATAAAGCATGAGCAATCAGCGTTAGAAAATTACGTGTTGTTGAATGGTAACCATCGCCTTTTAGGTTTGTCATTAAACGCTTTAGATGAAATCCATATATTGATCAGCCACTGAAGAAATTCTTCGGCATGCTGGATGGTCTTAAAACATGTCTGGAATTTACCTACTTATCGGTTGGAAAGTTAGATAATTCACCATGGTTTGGCTAGTTGTTTGATTTTGGGTGATTAAAGGCTACTGACTCATTGATTTGAGTGAGGAATTGTAGTTCAGACAGCCGAGTACTTTCACCTCTTACTGTGAAACAAGGTTACATTGGTTAAGTTTCCGCAGGAGAAATCAATCTGTTGATAAAAATCAACATGGAGTTAATCTGGCTGCAGGACTTCATACCAACTACTACCAACCACCTAACAACAAGAGGTTATTTTCTGCTTGTTCACCTGCCTTTGGTTGTCGAAGTTCTTGCGACTCATTGAAATGTGTATTGTTTAGTCCCATTTAACTTTAAGGGACAGTTACTGTTTCATGTGCAAATAATCACAACCTCCTATTGATCAGGTGTGGTCATCATCAGCATACAGCCATTTTGAGACGTCAATTTACTCAATAATTAGTTTTTCCATCCCTTCCTTATCCTATACTTTGTATGGTTTTTTTTGTTGGATCAAGAGCTTTATACTTATTATCTTATAGATGTTAAATGTGTTCACAATTTAGTGGAGTATTATATCTGAAATTCACTACTGAAAAGTAAATTGCTGTCGTCATACTCGAACGCGAGGGTTTGTAAAACTTGTCATTTTTGGATACTGGGATAGTATTAGAGCTTTCATTGTCATATGCACTTACTGACTTCTCTTGTAAAGAGGCATTACGTCATCAAATGTCAAATAGGGAAACCATTCAGATGCTAAAACTGAATATCTGCACCCTTTGTCTTAAACGAAAGTCATACACAGATTATAATAGTTTTACCGACCAACTCGTTGCTTGTGGTTTGTAAACTTTAGTTGACTGTGAACGTGCATGTAAATGCTATGCTATAAGCAGATCAACATTAATTTCATTATCCGAATTTCCGAAAAAACAAAATTCCTGTGAATATATCTGACCAGAGAGTCAAATTTGTTCCGCTCCACTACCATACCTCTCCAAACAGAGCTTCATGGCAATGAAATTATCTCTCAGTATTTAGATATCCTCAAATTGGCTTCCATTCTTAATGTCTTTCGGGAAGGATATTTAAATTATCAAGCAGTTACCGGCGTCACTTGGCTGACTGCTTAGATGAATGGTTCACTTATTGACTGACATTGTAGAAAAGTCTACATTGTTACAGTTACATAAATTGCTGTTATGCTATTTTAAAGAATTCCACTTCACCCCTATCATTTTTAAATGAAATCATCTATACAGACTTACTTGTTTATTAAAAACTATTTTTGAATGCAGTTTTTCAAGCTATACATATTTACAGTACTTTCTGTATAACAGAATTTTAGAAAGCTATAAATATTGTTCGTAATTGTAAATTATGTTTTTCATTTTATTGACATTCAATTCCAATTTAAATTTCAAAGATATGTATATATATACACATCTGCTTGCTTTTATGGTTCATTTCTAATTTATTTAATTAAATGAGATAGTCCACTGGGAAATCAAGTGCCTTCAAAACTGAAGGATATTTAGCCATAAATATACAAGTATACTCAGAAGCTAAATAATGCTTTTCTATGACTTGAGTCATTGCATTATCGACTGAGTTTAATTGTGCAGTAAAAAGGTGGACTAGCATATTCACCTTGAATATGCGAATGACAGAACCTTCTGATTGTCCGTCTGCTTTTTTGAATGAATAAGGTGAATGCCTCATATGAAAAACACGTGTGTATCTGTAAATGTGTTTGAAAAACGATGCAGTTGACTTTCATAAGCATAAAGACTTTAAGGGATTGTGTGTATGAACTTAATGGTTTTTGAATTTCACCTTAAGCTTCAAAACTATTCATTAGTGTAAGATGCTAAGCACTGCTACCTTTAGTTGTCTGTCTGGGATGATTGTTAAAATTCAGCTTAAAATGTTTCACTGTTCAACCCAAAGTAAAACTGACGATATTTCACTTGAAATCATATGTCGAATAAGCCATAATCCAAATATTTTTCACTAGAATTCTAGAAGTAACAGATTGGGAATGGGTGAAAAGCAGTTCATATTATTGATTATTATGACTAGTCCCTTGGGTACCTAATGGAAAATAGGGCCTCAGTAGCACGCCTCCATTCCACTCTCTTCTCTGCAACCTTTTGAACCTGGCTCCACGACAGCCCACAACTTCTCATTTCCTCCTCGCACGATCTCCCCCATGTCACCCTCGCCTCGGACCCCCAACTCGTCAATTTCCATCTGAGTTCCACTCGACGGCCTGGCCTGGCACGTGATGCCCCAGTCGGCCTTCTCAGTGTATGCCCAATCCATCTCCAATTTCTTCCAATGCATATTTGTTGAGCGATGGGTTTTTTGTTGGTTCGTTCCCAGGGTTCCTTGTTGCTTATTCTTTCTGGCCATCTGATCTTCAGAAGCGAGCGTAAGCAGTTGTTGATGAATGTCTGTAGTTTGTTGGAAATCCCTTTCGTAACACGCAGTCTCTGAGCCATACAGAAGAACTGATTTGACGTTGGTGTTGAAAATCCGGATCTTGTTCCACATGCTGAGCTGAGTGCAGAAGATCTCCACACTGGTTTCAGGCTAATGGACGCCTGTCTTGCTTTTCGAATCCTGGCTGCTTTGTCATCCTCGTCTGTGCCATCTGTAGTTGAAACAGTGCTGCCTAGATAGGTGAAGGAGGCTACTTCCTTTAAGTATCTCCCGTTGATGGTGATTGGTGCTTGTTGTTGTTGGTGATGGTGGTGTTCGTTGTGTATCTTCATCACCTCCGTCTTCTCTACGTTCACTTGAGGTCCCATCTTCGCTGCCTCTTCTGACAACTTGTTAGTTTTCGCCTGTAGATCTTCGAGTTTGTGCGACACTAGACACAGGTAATCGACGGAATCCAAATCTTCTAGGCTCTTTTCATCGGTCCAGCCAGCATATGCCCATCTTCTCGCTCCTCACGGTTTGCTGTATGATCCAGTGGACCACAATCAGGAAGACCATGGGTGAAAGTAGGCGGCAGCCTTGTCTTACTCCCGTCTTCACTTCAAAGGCATCACTGAGCTTTCCATTGTGGATCACTCGGCACGTGGCGTCTTCATATAGTTGTTGAATGAGATTGATAAAGACTTGTGGCACACCGTAGTGTTGAAGCAGCAGCTGCCAAATTACTTCTCGGTCAACGCTGTCGAAGGCCTTTCCAAAATCGATGAAGTTGAGATAGAGATCCAGTTGACTGCCATTCTATACTCTGTTATATGATGATGCGTAGCGTAGCGTTGCGATTTGATCCGCACATGATTTGTACTTCCTGAATCCAGCCTGCCTGTTCCGGTCGTAATTTTGAATCGAGAGCATCTTTTAGTCTCTCCAGGATGATGCGGCTTAATATTTTGCTTAGGATGGACAAGAGAGTGATTCCGTGCCAGTTCTTGCAAACACTGAGGTCTCCCTTCTTCGGGAGTTTGACAAGGTGACCGTTTTTTCAATCTGCAGGTACCTTCCCTTCCTCCCAGACCTTTTGCAATAGCCACTCGAAAACTCAGTGTGCTCGTGGTTGTCATCAGCGTGACCGGAGTAGATTAGACTATTGACTCCTCTCCAGTTGACAGTTTGGAGAGTCCACTTGCATTCCGTCTGCAGATTCTTCGCAGATTCCAAGCACTTCCATGCCATACCTCCTCATCTCTTTTGCAATCTGAGCAGCCTCGCTAGGTTCGTACATGGTGTGGACATTCCATATCCCCAGCTTTACTTTCGCTTTCATCGAGAGGAGAGAAGACACATCGGCCGACCGGCTTCCTGAAGGTTTTCACCAACCGGCGTCATTTCGTCTCTCCGATTATTGCGAGGAATAAGTTTGTTTTTGTGTTTTATATTTTGTTTGTGCTTTAAAGTTTCTTCAGCGTTTAGATTTGTTTTCCGGGTTAGGGTTGTTAGCTCTATGCCCAACCTTCCCTCTTTTCCCGGGCTTATAACCGGCTAGTTTCTAGTGAACTAGTTAACCAGGCGAGGATCATGTTTCTTATTTCAAATAATGTTTTGTGTGCCTTTATATCAGATATGGACATGGAGAATGGTGAGCATGGCAATTTCGGATGATAAAATTCTGTGGTTAATTAAGGCAGTCTCACGTTAACTAGCGGAAATTTACTATTCTGAGGAATAAATTACATGTAGTTTGTAGTACGTTTGCAATGATAAACATCTATATATTTCATTATACTGAGACTGAGGTGAATATTCAACTTACCGGCGTTGAAATCTGCACCGACATCGCCAGTTATTGGTAATAGAACTATGGCGACACTTATATTAGCTTCTATTGCATATTTTGCAAACGTCTGATCGTAAATGGGCAAACCGAAGGTCACTGAATTGGTGAGAAATCAAACAGAAGATAAAATTCACAGTTATAAGCAGAAAAATGTGTCACCTTCCTCACATTAAATTCTTCGAGTCTTTTCAACTGGTCTGCTGATGTCTGCTACTGACGTATACCACCAGAGTTTATTCCTGATTTACTAATAAATACCATTTCTTTGCTTTAAGAGGATCACTAGAAGTTATTTGAAAGCCATATGAAAGGCGAATCCATTTGTAACTCATTTTATATTAATTTGATGAAGATACCTTTCATTTTTGACCTTCAATGCAAGTGAGGTTACACTTATGGTTAATAATTACTCATTTTGCCTAACATATTCATGAAGTCAGCTAGAATATTTAAGGTTTTTATAATTGGATTGCATTTACTTTACAGCATTAGTGATTCTTTCATTCACGAGAAGGTTTGCTTCGACAATGGTTAACGTTCGCTTACCTAGGAAAAAACTTTTACAAGTCCTCTACCAGGTTTTAGGTTTGTTGGGAAAATTTGTCTCTTTTGTAATGTAATTTGTGAAATTTGTTAGACAAGATGACTGAGTATTTGAACTACCCAGCTGAGCTGTTCAGAATGAATGCTAATGAAAACTATCGCCTAACGGATTGTTTAGCAAAACTATGTTCCATTGATGACCAATATTTTCATTATTGTACTGCAAGTGATATCGAACCCTTCATTCAGGTTTGAATAACTTTTACTCATTACGTTGTTTATTTTTTTGGAGATGAAAATATCCTTTCTTTTTAAAAGGTATATTCGGCTAAAATGAAGGTTGTTGTTTTGATAAGGTAGGTATGATTTGGTGGACTCTTATTTATGGTACTGTTCGACAATTGGAGGTGGAATAAAAATCTGGCTCTTGGGAGGATTTCAACAAGTGCCCTACAGGTTATTGGCCTGGTGATCTACTAACTGAGCTATGACACTCAACTGTTTCAATCATCATCCAGTATCAGAAACGTAAGTCTGTAAAGCCACGACTGAGATGGTTAAACTGATAGTCAAGGAGATGCTCCCGCTCTGTCATTCAACTAGATTTTGGTTGAGATGAGAAGTACTAATCTGGCAGTCAGTGTGAGTATCATGAACAGATAGTAAGGCATTATGAATTCACATGATAGTGAGACAAGACCATTTATGATTGAAGTGAAATAAAGATCTGGTTAGCGACTGGGTCTTGTGGCACAGTTGTTAGATCATCAGGGAGGTAAACCTGAGGCCACTGGTTTAAATACTAACATAACCCAGATTTTCACCTCACCTTCAGTCATCATCGAGTATCAATAGAAAAAGTTCATACTTATGAACATAACAGGGAATATCATCTGAACCTAAAAACTGCTTTGACTATTCAGTTTTAGCAAAATTTAAACAGTAACTTAAAAAGGGACTATGAATGCTAAAGCACTGCATTTCGGGTGATAAAGTTAACATAGATGAACATATATATAGTTGGATGCCTTATCTGGACTGAATCAACTTGACTAAGTATGAAATTATAGTTCTTCATTATTTTTAAGTAAACGTTCGGAAATCATGGATATTGCCATGGTGCACTTCCATTTTATAGAATGAATTATCAGTATACTGCAACATAATTCATAAACTTATGTCAAGTCTTACATTATTATTATATATGTCTTAACGAAGATTGTTTTGTTTCAATTACATGATAGGTAATAAAAAAGTGTTTTCAATGGCTTTTTAGGCGATCATTTATTTCCTGCATTAATGATGCCTTTATCTGAATCTATATAGATATGCTGCACAAAATATACACCACCGGAAAAAGCAACAGCAATCAAGTAAGTAGGTAAATGTTGGCGAATAATTTCCTGAATAATTGTTATTTATTATAAAAGCTATAAGCTAAAGATTAAACATTTCGAATCTCTCACTCTGTCTCTATACAGCCGAGAAATTCTCTTTCTAAAACAGAGAAGTATGCAAATAAACATATATATCTACATACTGTTTATCTATTATAGTGAGTAGTATGAATAGGACCTTCATACTTGAGTATTAATATACATATATATATATATATATATATATATATATATATAATCATCTAAAGTCATAAATACATATCTGGCATAGAGGTGGGCGAAATGAAAGTGTGGTGATACCAAGCAGAAAAATAATGAGCACAATGAATATTTTTTGAAGATTACTTTCTATCCAAGTTTCTTGCATTCCTCGAGGCTCTTCTGTTACATCATTTACATTTTTTTTATTGCTTTCTTTTATCTTGTATCAACAATAGTTGGTATAAATCATTAGACAGATTGCCATGTGACGTTTCATCTCATTTACCTACAAAGATGGCACTATTTATGTGGATAAGAATTTGTTTTAATTTAGAGTGACCAGTGGTTGTCTAACTGGACTGCTTATTGGTCCCTGGTCTATAAATGAGTGACAGGTCATTTGTTTCGGCTTAGCAAATAGGTTTGTATTCGTGTATTCATAGTGCATTTAATGCATTGTATGGATAATGTGACTTCTGAAGAATAATTACTTATCTAAAGGAAAGTGTAATAGAAGACGTGACGCAGTTCAGGACCTTCAGCTTTATTGTAGGGGAATATATCATAGAAAAGGTTCATTGCCTTTAATTTTATTTAAGATGTAATGAGGTTGTTTGTTAGCCCTGTGTCGTTCGGTATCTTGTTTTGGATGCCGGCGGATTTCCGCAGTAATAACCGCATGCTTAGCTACATTGCCCACCATCATATCTATGAATATGAGTTCTAGTTTTCTCACTAAAGTATCCCAGAATTTGTATATGAGAAACTTCAGCTACCACTTCTAAAAGTCCTTAAATATACACTTTTGGTTCCTTTCCCATTTTCATTAATCGGAAGTGATATTGGTTATTTTACTTTGTTCATTATCCGCAGATATTTATTCACAGAGTTGATAATTTCCATTGTAAAATGTAAGATATTTCACAATGAATGTTGCTGTTGCTCAGCGTTTATTCATCTTGTGGAGTCTAGCACGGTCGGCATATAAGTTCTGAATTCAACCGTTGTATAGCTCATTTCTACCGGCATACAGCATGAAAGTAAGATACAAAACCTAGAAACCTTAACAGTGTAGAGATACAGAGATAATTTCCTACTCGTGATCCATTATTACGTTACCTATCACTGAGTAAGCATTTTTCGGTCATAATCTCAGCTCATGTTATTCATTTATTGTTCACTGTTAGCTTTTAGCATGACAGAATGCCTTATATTCTTTTTGGAAGTTCTTTATCAGACTCACTGATAACGGAAACTCCAGTGTCTGCCCTTCAAATAAAAAAGTATTGAAAAGTGATCTGAAGTATTTGCATTTGATGGGGATTCTCTGGTAACATGATAATACTTAAGATTTTATTTCTCTTGCTTCTGCTTCGTATTCATAGGAATATTGAATTGGGTAGTTGTTCAGACCCAGCATTTGATGATAAAACTGTCAAGAATTTCAAAGCCTAGGCTAATGACTTTTTGTTGACTGATCTTAATCATCCAATGTGATGGATTTAAATGTATACAAAATCGTATGATTATAGAAAATTCGTGCATTCTAATAAATGGTTTCCGTTTAAGTTTAAACTGCCATCGTTCCCTACGATGGCTTTTGCCAATGTATAAAACGACACGTCCCCATACCTGCCTAATATTTAATAGTTATATGCAGACATACTTTCAATGAACTTACTGAATCTGTGACAACCGGGCAATTTAAGAAATTTATCTGAAATTTTGACAAAACGGCCAAGTCAGTGAAGGAGAAATTTGAAATGAAATCTGCTATCTGATCGTTTGCACTATTTAGTTTAAGTTGGTCTTTTAGCCCTGTCACGCAGTGAAACAGTATTTTCATTTACTGGATCACGTTTTGGACCCAATTTATTGTCTAGACTGATATGACTGTGAACAAAATCTTTTGTGCGAAACACAACCTAGTAAATGATAATACTGTTCTGCTGTGCGATACATCTCATAAATCAACTGAATTGGGATTACATTCTACCAGTGACCAAGTTTAATTCATATTTCAATATTTGCACCATCTTACTGATCAAAGACCAGATAATACTGGAATTAATTATTTTCAAAAGTTAACTATGATAAGCATCTTAAGGCAATTCGTGTGTGAAAAATTTGACGAATGGTAATAGACTTAATTTTCAGAGACGTGTTATTTAAAGATTCAGTGGCTAATGAATGTAATTTATCGCCTAATTATGAGGAATATCTAATGCATTATCCTTATTACGAGTTAGTGGACCTCGAAACCAAGGAAGGCGGTGTGATAAATATCTTTAAGAAGCGACTTCCGACGTCCATAGACAGAAAATATTTTGCCACCAATCTAAGGATCACATTCACGTGTCAGAAACTCACTCAACTTTGAGGTTTGTGGGGGTTTAGTTGTTGATCTTAAGTTGACATTCGCCAGCTGCAGAAACATTGAGAACCTCGGAGCACTGGACAGCTGCTTCGTCTTAGAATGTGACTCAGCAGTGCATACCCACGACCCTGGTGGGGACTGAACCTAGTTCATTCTGATTTCATGGCCAGCATGTTATGTTCCAGCCAGTGATCTATATTTTCTACCTACTTCAGTTTTTGAATTACCTCGATCCCAACTTAAAGCCATCTTCCTAAAACTATCCTCACGGATTCCAGCCCAGTGGCTTAATGGCAGCCTGCTGTCTGCAGAACCGGAAAATCCTTGGTTTGATCACTGGCGGGGTCATAGTTGCGCATTTTTGATGAGACCCATACCAGGGAAACTCATTCGTATGTGCACAAAAGATGAACTACAGCATTGGACTATTCAAATATACATTTATCAGTTTGCTTGCTTCTGGGCTGGTGAGCTCATCAGCTATACTAAAAGCACGATCTTGTGAAACTCATTTGTATACACTATCCAGGCGTGATGTCAAGGAAAGAGGTTAGAAATTTATTATCAGGCCTGTAACA